TTTTCATTTCTAGCACCTCAGTATGAAGGTGTCAGGCTGGGTCTCAGAGCCAAATTGTACTCAGAAAGCCTCAGTGCAGAGAGCAGGAACTACTGGCCCTTAACGTCAGCAGAACGGCTCTGGCCTTAGAGTCCATGCTCTGAATGCTTTTGGCCATAAGTAAGAGAATTCCTAATGCTCAGAGCAATACTTTTAATAGTCTTATGAAGTCTGGAAGAAGGGTGTTGAGTTGGTGAGGTTTTTTTGGCTTTCCTCATGGTGGCAAAATGGCTGCAGCGCCTCCAGGCATCACATCCTCTCAGGACAACATCAATGCAGGATGGAAGGCTAGGTGGCAAAGAGGCTTCTCTTTATAATTCCTTAATGAGGGAATCCTACCCTGTCCAGAAATGCTCAGCTACTTCATCTTACTGTTCATTAGCCAGACTGAGTCACACAGCTATTCTTGGACATCTAAGTTCTTTGAAGAAAAGGAAGCACAGGGCAGGGGACTTCCTGAAGTGTCTACAGTGTCTACTCTGTAGCAGAAAGCCTGTGTCTCCTTTCCCCACCTGCACTCACATACACACACATGCATGGGGTCATATGCAGGCACACACTTGCACACACATGCACACACGCACGGGGTCATATGTAGGCACACACTTGCATTGGTCCATGTTGTTCCCATGGGGTGGGACTGACCCCTTCTCTGGAGCAGACCCAGGAGTGAGGTCTGAATCAACCAGCTGCTCCCACACAGACTCAGGGATCGAGGGATGGGTGAGCTGTGAGCTCTTTCCCCAGGACCTTCCCCCCACCCCACCCCCGGCTCCGTCTGGGAGGAGGTGCCCACTGGAGCTGCCCACTGAAGTTACCCACTGGCCTGGATATGAGCCGGATCCAGGGCCATGGTTCCAGGCAAAGATAGCCGGGTGCGAGGGGAGGGCTGCCCCTCCTTCGTCTCCCCCAGCTGGTGTGCGCAGATGCCCAAGGACACAGCTTCACATTTTGTTTCTTTCCCTGAGACTCTTTTCTAGACAATGGATCTATTAAGAAAATAATTCACCCTGGGCCTCAGAAGCCCGGTTTTCTTTTCACTTCCTTACAGCAGGAAACCTACTGCCACCTTGCTTAGTGGGGCCCTGTGGCAGGCAGCACACCTTGTTCTCGTCGCCATGTCACCCCTTGTTCATGTTGAGTCTTCCTGAATCCCTTGTCAGCAGAAGCCTTCACTGGAGTTTCGGTGTCAGCTGGCAGGCAGCGCTGCCTAGCACCCCCGTGGCCCTCTCACCACGAGTTCCCAGCTCAGGAACCTGCACCCAAACTGCCTTCCCCTCACTGTTCTCATCGCGGCTGCTCTTTGGGGACCTGGGGCCTTCTGCGGGGGGCGCTGGCGTCTGGGAGGGCACCTCCCGCCCCCTCCACATCCCCTCCCTTCCGTCCTTCACGCCCCTTCACCTCCTCATCCCCCTCCCCACCATCACACCTGTGACCAGGCCTCCAAGGTGGTCCTCAGGGTGACATCCCTCCTCGCCCACCAGCCCCAGGGGCCCTGGGCAAGCTGCTGGGCTGAGGGGCCTTTCTGCCCAAGGCTCCAGCAGGTGGGTATGACATGTCAGAGGAATGGCTCTCCCTGCCAGGGGGCGTGTGCTTCTCCAGGAGACTCCACTCTGCCTTCTGTGGTGCTTCCCACGTGGGGCCAGTCAGGGCCACAGAGCCAGGGTGGGGGCCCTGGGGTGCTTCCGTGGGTGCCGTGGGAAGGGTCCCGAGGGAGCGCACAGGAACCTGGACTTGGGGATAGTGGCCTTGCAGCCGCCGGGGGGCAGGTGGGCAGGTGCAGTCACAGGTCCCCGAGGTGAGCACACTGAGGCCAGGAGGCTGAGCCCCGCTGGTCAGGGAGGTGACAGTCTGGCGCTGCCTTGTCAGTGGGGGTTCCCAGGAGCCTTGGGGAGAAGCTGGACCCTGTGCCCTGATCTCTCTACACTGATTCCTCCACACCGACTTGGCAAAGGACCCTCTGGCTAAAGAGGTTCCCCCATTCCTGTGGGAGGTCGTAGGGGGAATTCAGGACTCCGTTGTGGTATGTAGGGGGGACCCTGGTGATGGACAGGGTCAGGTGCCACATTTCCATCTGTCCTGAGTGACCCTGCCCTCCCTGTCACTGGGATAGGACCTGGGGTTGGGAGGGGGCAAAGCCCCCTAAGAAATGGCCTTGTGCACAGACAGACCACGGTGGGCACTGGGTGGGCAGGGGGCTATGGTTCCTTCCTGGACCCCGTATTGTAATTATAAAATATTTTCTGTGGAATAGATATTAGTTAAAAAAAAATGAGATAATATAGAAAGTATAAATAAAATAAAAACTTCCTGCGAGTCCACTAGCCAGATATAAGGGCTATTAACAATTTAGTGTATTTTTGTCCAGGTTTTTTTTTATCCTAAGTATGATTCAGTCAGAGCCCCACTAGAAAATCAGAAACTGCTCTAAATGTTTAAAACTTAATGTGTTTAATGCGGGGAATTGGCTGCATGATGACAGAAAAGCAAACAGTTAGAGGTGGCAGTAAGGTTGCCAGAAAAAATTTAAGATATCCAGTTAAGTGTGAATTCTAATAAACAACAAGTAACTTTTTAGTATGAGCATATCCCATGCAATATTTGTTTCTTTGAAACTCAAGCTCAAGTTCAACTGGGCATCTGTGCTTTCCCCCCCCTAAACCTGGCAACCCTGGGTGCCAAGGCAGCCCAGAGATCAGCATCCCTCGCCCCCGGCTGAAGACCCGAAGGAAAGGGTGCTGCCAGCGCCCAAGAGCCAAGGCCCTGCTCATGCATGGAAGCTACACGGGAAGCCTGTGTGGTGGGGCTGCAGCCCAGGCTCCGCCCGCATTCCCTGGGCTGGAGAGGGGAGTGTGGGGACAGCAGAGGAGGTGGCTCTCCCCAGAGAACCTAAACGCCAAATACCCGAAGGCCAGGCGCCAGCCACTGTGGGGCCCCTGCTAGCAGAGTGCTGTTCCCTTCCTCCGCCCCCAGCTCTGGCCAGTGCCTCCCCTTGTTCAGATGGGCCCCAAGCAGCTGGCGGGCAGCCCCTGTGGCCTGCAGGGCTCAGCCCCTGTGATGGGAGGTGAGTGCGGGTCCAAGGAGAGATGCAGGGCGAACCTGCTCAGCAGACAGCCCCGGTTCGCCTGTAATGCCCCCTAGGCTTTCTCTGAGGGTGGAACTAAAACGCTGTAGAATACCGCAGTGTATCATGTACCTTAATGCACCTGACTATTCTGAAACTGGATGCTTAGGAAGCAGGACTGTCCACCAAAATTCTGCCGGGCAGAGGGCCCCAGAGAAACTCCAGGACCTTCTCCTGGGAGGATTTCAGTGGCTCCCAGGTCACCAAGCTGAGAAAAGATGTGGAAGGAATGCTCCGCTCACACCTGTGAACATCCTCATTGAGAGGCAGGGCCTGAGCTTGGAGGCGCCGTCACGCACACACACCTGCATCACCCCCATAACCTGTGATGCCGGTCAGTAAAGGCTCCTCTGATGGCCGGGGCCAGCTGGCACACTGTTCACAATACTTTCACGCATTAGGTTTGAATGACAACCAAAGTGCTTTGATGAGGTGGCTCTGAGAATGTGCAACTCTCCCTTGTCCCACTAAAGACACGTGCACATGCGCACAGATGCATACACGCAGAGCACACACACATGCATACCTACACTATGGCGGGCCACACTCATAGGCATTCACATGGTGCTCCCTCTGCCTTATGTGTCCCAGGACACCTAAAGCCAAGCCAGGTGTCCATCGGGTGCCCTGAGGGAAAGGGAGACCCTGTGTTGGGGACCTGCCCTGCCTCTTACTGGCTGCCTGGGTTTGGGGAGCTGCTAAGCCTCTGAGCATGGGGCTAACCAATGCCCACCTTGCAGGAAGTCCTGGGTTAGGAGACTTGGGCACAGAGTAGGTGTGCACCAAATGAGTATTCTTAGTAAGCACAGACTGAGTGGGCCCTCATTTGGAACAGCCAGGCAGGAAGCCCCTGCCCCCCTGGTTGGGGGTAGCCAGTGACTGTGCGCACATGTCTGGGGTCCATCGTGTGGCCCGGGAAGGGAGTTTCCCACTTTGGTGAGTCTGCAGAGTGCCTGAGGGAGGGGCCAGGCAAGAGGCAGTCGCTGCCTGACCAGTGTGGTGGTGAGCCCGGTCCTGGGTAGTGCCGGCGGGGGTGGTGAGGGACACCCCTGCACAGCAGGAAGGGACCCTGTGCAAATGCAGGTGGCAGAGATGCTTGGACACTCCTGTGGCCCAGTGAGGGCAGTGGGTTGGGTGGCCAGGGCACTGGTTGTTTTAGCTGTGGTGGGCAGGGTGATCCGAGTACAGGCATGCACGCTTGGAGCACAGCTGGGAGTCAGGGTGCAAAGGGGCTCAGGGCCCCTCCCAGCTCACCGTCCTGCACTCACCTGCTCCCCACAGCCTCCCCTGCCTGCTGAGACCATGCAGACTCCAGCTACAGTGGGCCACCCACCCCCTGCCCTCACCACTGAGCCCAGGCCACTGCCCCAGACAATTGTTGGGCAAGGTGCTGCTTGGAGGGTCACTTGCCTAGACAGACTGGTTGACGTTTGTGGGGGGAGTAACAGTCATGGGTATCGTGTGCCCCTCTGATCCCAGCTGTGGCTGTGGGGAGCGGATCTGGGTAGGCCCCAGCTCCTTAATACCAGCAGCACCCCCCTTCTCACCTTCCACACCATGCTCCTACGCTGGAGCCCACTGGCATTCGAGCACATCTGGAAAGGTGGGACTCAGCCCCCTTCACTGTGAGAGACCCAGATGGATGGACAAGGTTGCTCCCTGTCTACCCTCCCTTGACGATTCCCAGAGGTTCTCTTCCCATCAGAGGCCCCAGAATCCTGCCTCAGTGACCTCCCCCTTCTCCACTGTGTCCTCGAATTAGTTTCCCCTCCCTCGCCCTTCTCTGGCTCCCTGGGGTCCCCACCTAACTATTGCCTGCATGTGGTCCTCTGTCCAGGCTCCACTCTGGGAAAGAGGTACGGACATCTGCTGCTGGCCAGTCTGGGGGGCTTCTTACAAGAGGAAACACAAGAACTGCAGGGAGCAGAGGTCTTCAGGGGAGCCAGGTGCCATGGCCTGGAGGAAAACTGAAGACGGAAGGAATATCAGAGACAGATAAGCAGAGGGACAAACTCTCCATGTGGCCACATCAGCAATGACCCACAGAGCCCAGTTGGGAAGAGACAACAGGTATCAGGCTGCTGATGCTCAGATGTCAGCATTTCTAACATAGCTGAGTGTCCAGCAGGCTGAGACGTCCACAGGTTCAAGGCTGCTCCAGCACAGAGGACGCTCAAAGTGCGACCACGAGTTTTGAGTTATATTAGTATAGGAAAGATAGATGGGACCCAACTGGCCTCATGTGCATGTGTTTTCTCCAGGTACCGATTTTGAGGGTTGAGGCTTCCTAACTCAATGGGGCTAATGGCTCAGAAGCCCTCGACCTAGCCCACAGATTCATGGACTCCAAAACAGGTTCGCTTCACCACCAAGAAGTAAATGGCTTGTGCTCAGCAGCCAGTCAGGAACTCAGTGCCTTTAGCCTTGAGCAAAGGCGTCCACCTGCCAAGGGTGCCGACCACAGGGTGTGCTGGCTTTCTGCTTCGGGAGCCTCTCCTGGCCTGTGCCCCAGGAACCCAGAGTGGAGACTGCTATTCCAGGGTCAGCAACCTGCTGCTCCCTCCTAGAACTTGACCCAGACAGAGACGGCTGCACTGGCACTAGATCCAAATCACTTTCTAGACAAAGCATGAAGAGGTAGGTGCCAGCTCTCCCACATTCATGCCGCTCCAGCTTTGGCACTGTCATGATTTTGCGTCCAGCCTTTGCTTTGCAGCACCCTGGCTCCTGTCTGCCTGCAGTACAAACACAGAAAAAGACAGGCATGCCTCAGGGCAGGAGGGGCTTCCCCTCCCTCCCTGCCCCTGCTACCTTCCCTCTTTTCTTCCCAACTTTTCTCCCTACTGCTCCTCTTTTAGGAAATGGGCAGCGCTATGGGTTGAATTATGTATCCCCAAAAAGATATGTTGGGGTTCTGACTCTCCCCCACCTCAGAATGTGACCATATTTGGAGACAGGGACTTAACAGGTGATCAAATTAGAATGAGGTCATGGGTGGCCCTAATACAATATGACTGGCTGGTGAAAAGGGGCAGTTTAGACAGGAAGATGATGTGAAGGCCCAGTGAGGAGGCGGTGGCCATGTGACTGGGGTGAAGCATCTGTAAGCCAAGGAATGCTGGTGGCACCAGGAGCTGGAAGAGGCAGGACTGAGCCTCCCCAGGGCCTTCCGAGGGAGCATGGGCCTGCCCACACCCTGATTTGGGAGTTCTAGTCTCTAGAATTGTGAGAGAATGTATTTCTGTTGCTGTAGTCCCAGGTTGTGGTCCCTTATTAAGGCAGCCCTAAGAAACTAATACAAGAAATTAATTCATCAACAATAGCTTTTCAAAAACTACCTTGAACAAGGAGTAATATTATACCCAGCTGTCTGTTCTAGTTGATGAAGTAGTCATACATCAATCAAACTTTTGAGAAACCTAGTATATTTCTAGGACTCAAAAGGCTTGCTTACAAAGAAAAATCCCTTTATAGACCAAATTTATAGACTCATTTTATGTATATTGTCACTGATTTTGTTTGCTCAGAAACAACAAACACATGAACTGAAATGTTCTGGTGGTTAAAAATACCCACTGGGTTAGCTCCTCTCCTAGGACTTAGCTGCCAAGACCACCAAGAACCGTGGTCTTGCCCCACCTGCCTTTGGGAAACGTTTGAGTTCCAGTGCCCACCATCCAGTCTCGAAAGTGGAGGCTGCATGGAGAGATAATGAAGTGACACCATCTCCATTGTCTGCTGGGGGAACTGTGATGGCGTTGGTTCTTAGCATCTGGACTGGCTAGCTGGGGGCCTGGGGACAGTCTCTACTACTCAGGGTTAGCGGGGGCAGGAACCAACCCCCACCCCAGTTGGAGAAGGAGTGTCCACACTGTGGCCAGCACTTTCCTTCCAGTTTGAATTCCCTGTGAGAGTTCCCTTGTGGGCTGAGTCATCTCCTAAATGCTCTTGGAAGGCGCTGAAAGTGGGAAGTGAACGTGATGGTTTGGCCCCTGCCCTCCTGTGATTCCACAGGGTTGGTGTCCCAAACTGTGGGAAAGATGTTCTGTCCAGGCGGGTTCTGATCTCTAGGAGGGTCAGGTGGGAGGCGCTGAAGGAAGCACCTAGGATTCCTGGCTTTGCCATGTCTCCCCACACACAGAGATGATACCATACCCCCTTCAAGGTGGTCTTATAAAATGAACACACAGCACTTACCCATAAGTAAGTAACCAACAGCGTTGGCCTTTATGGTAGTGACTGTGGTCCCCTGGGGGGCATTGGGCTCTGAAGGTGTGGCCAGTGCTGTCCCCTGCCTGTGGCTCAGCATCTCTCCCATGTGGGGGCTGCCCTCTTCCAGTGGGTGTGCACCCACATGTGGCCAGCCCTCCGTCCTCATTCCCTGGGCTGGAGGGGGCCTGGGTCAGAGTATGAGAGCAGCAGAGGAGGGACTCTCCCCAGAGAAACCGAACTGCCAAGCTGACAACCACTTCTGGAGTTACCTCCAGGGAGGATGTTGGCCTGATCACCAAAACATCACAGACTATTTGCACTGAGGGGTTCATGATCATCCAGTTTGAAGTTTGTCAGGCTTTTGGTTGGGACAGCGATGTTCCTTACTAACTTGTTTCCCAACACCCCTTGACTGTAAGGCTACGCACATGGTTCCATGTAGGCAAAAATCTGTTGGAGATTCTGGAAAAATGCTTTCTGACATTGGAGCCACTCCTTCCTGCTCATTGTTTCTTTTTTCTTCATTCTGTTGACTGGAATATGGACATGGGCCTGGGGAGGTCTTGTAACCATGGAGCTACCACAAGGGTCAAAGCCAGATGAGAAGGATGGCAGAGCAGAAAGATGGGGGGAACTTGGCCCAGGGACTACATCATGGGGCTGCTGTAACAGCCAGGGATTGCTTATTTTTGGTAAGAAAATTAAAATACTATTTGGTTGACCCGTGGAATGGGGTTCTGTCACATGCGGTCAGATATAATCTGTAAGTGATACACTGGCACAGCAGACCAGTGCAAATTGAAGCAAAACTGCTTACCAGAATTGTCACTAATCTATGCAAGCAACTTGCATTACAGAGCTCCAGAATGGCTGAGGAATTGGGGTCAGGAGGGAATCTTTGAAGGTGGGAGTGAGGGGTTGGCTGAATAGTGAAGAATTGAAACACTGAAAGCATGCTGTATGAAATACTTAGTTGCTAAAATTTCCTCCTGTCTCCCACAGAGCCAACAACTATCCCATCCCAACTGAAGAATACTCATGGTGTGTATACACGGCAGAGAAATTAAACCAGACAGGCTGTAGACCTGGTGACTCAAGGAAGAACAGAAAGAAGAGAAAGTTATCAAAGAAACAATACAAGAAAATTACCCAGAACTGCAGGACATAAGTTTCCTGATTGAAAGAGCTAACCAGGTTTCCAAACTATAAATGAAAATAGGATATCATCTTGAAATTTCAAAACACTGGGAATTTAGGAAAAAAGGTTATCCTTCACGCCCCTTCACCTCCTCATCCCCCTCCCCACCATCACACCTGTGACCAGGCCTCCAAGGTGGTCCTCAGGGTGACATCCCTCCTCGCCCACCAGCCCCAGGGGCCCTGGGCAAGCTGCTGGGCTGAGGGGCCTTTCTGCCCAAGGCTCCAGCAGGTGGGTATGACATGTCAGAGGAATGGCTCTCCCTGCCAGGGGGCGTGTGCTTCTCCAGGAGACTCCACTCTGCCTTCTGTGGTGCTTCCCACGTGGGGCCAGTCAGGGCCACAGAGCCAGGGTGGGGGCCCTGGGGTGCTTCCGTGGGTGCCGTGGGAAGGGTCCCGAGGGAGCGCACAGGAACCTGGACTTGGGGATAGTGGCCTTGCAGCCGCCGGGGGGCAGGTGGGCAGGTGCAGTCACAGGTCCCCGAGGTGAGCACACTGAGGCCAGGAGGCTGAGCCCCGCTGGTCAGGGAGGTGACAGTCTGGCGCTGCCTTGTCAGTGGGGGTTCCCAGGAGCCTTGGGGAGAAGCTGGACCCTGTGCCCTGATCTCTCTACACTGATTCCTCCACACCGACTTGGCAAAGGACCCTCTGGCTAAAGAGGTTCCCCCATTCCTGTGGGAGGTCGTAGGGGGAATTCAGGACTCCGTTGTGGTATGTAGGGGGGACCCTGGTGATGGACAGGGTCAGGTGCCACATTTCCATCTGTCCTGAGTGACCCTGCCCTCCCTGTCACTGGGATAGGACCTGGGGTTGGGAGGGGGCAAAGCCCCCTAAGAAATGGCCTTGTGCACAGACAGACCACGGTGGGCACTGGGTGGGCAGGGGGCTATGGTTCCTTCCTGGACCCCGTATTGTAATTATAAAATATTTTCTGTGGAATAGATATTAGTTAAAAAAAAATGAGATAATATAGAAAGTATAAATAAAATAAAAACTTCCTGCGAGTCCACTAGCCAGATATAAGGGCTATTAACAATTTAGTGTATTTTTGTCCAGGTTTTTTTTTATCCTAAGTATGATTCAGTCAGAGCCCCACTAGAAAATCAGAAACTGCTCTAAATGTTTAAAACTTAATGTGTTTAATGCGGGGAATTGGCTGCATGATGACAGAAAAGCAAACAGTTAGAGGTGGCAGTAAGGTTGCCAGAAAAAATTTAAGATATCCAGTTAAGTGTGAATTCTAATAAACAACAAGTAACTTTTTAGTATGAGCATATCCCATGCAATATTTGTTTCTTTGAAACTCAAGCTCAAGTTCAACTGGGCATCTGTGCTTTCCCCCCCCTAAACCTGGCAACCCTGGGTGCCAAGGCAGCCCAGAGATCAGCATCCCTCGCCCCCGGCTGAAGACCCGAAGGAAAGGGTGCTGCCAGCGCCCAAGAGCCAAGGCCCTGCTCATGCATGGAAGCTACACGGGAAGCCTGTGTGGTGGGGCTGCAGCCCAGGCTCCGCCCGCATTCCCTGGGCTGGAGAGGGGAGTGTGGGGACAGCAGAGGAGGTGGCTCTCCCCAGAGAACCTAAACGCCAAATACCCGAAGGCCAGGCGCCAGCCACTGTGGGGCCCCTGCTAGCAGAGTGCTGTTCCCTTCCTCCGCCCCCAGCTCTGGCCAGTGCCTCCCCTTGTTCAGATGGGCCCCAAGCAGCTGGCGGGCAGCCCCTGTGGCCTGCAGGGCTCAGCCCCTGTGATGGGAGGTGAGTGCGGGTCCAAGGAGAGATGCAGGGCGAACCTGCTCAGCAGACAGCCCCGGTTCGCCTGTAATGCCCCCTAGGCTTTCTCTGAGGGTGGAACTAAAACGCTGTAGAATACCGCAGTGTATCATGTACCTTAATGCACCTGACTATTCTGAAACTGGATGCTTAGGAAGCAGGACTGTCCACCAAAATTCTGCCGGGCAGAGGGCCCCAGAGAAACTCCAGGACCTTCTCCTGGGAGGATTTCAGTGGCTCCCAGGTCACCAAGCTGAGAAAAGATGTGGAAGGAATGCTCCGCTCACACCTGTGAACATCCTCATTGAGAGGCAGGGCCTGAGCTTGGAGGCGCCGTCACGCACACACACCTGCATCACCCCCATAACCTGTGATGCCGGTCAGTAAAGGCTCCTCTGATGGCCGGGGCCAGCTGGCACACTGTTCACAATACTTTCACGCATTAGGTTTGAATGACAACCAAAGTGCTTTGATGAGGTGGCTCTGAGAATGTGCAACTCTCCCTTGTCCCACTAAAGACACGTGCACATGCGCACAGATGCATACACGCAGAGCACACACACATGCATACCTACACTATGGCGGGCCACACTCATAGGCATTCACATGGTGCTCCCTCTGCCTTATGTGTCCCAGGACACCTAAAGCCAAGCCAGGTGTCCATCGGGTGCCCTGAGGGAAAGGGAGACCCTGTGTTGGGGACCTGCCCTGCCTCTTACTGGCTGCCTGGGTTTGGGGAGCTGCTAAGCCTCTGAGCATGGGGCTAACCAATGCCCACCTTGCAGGAAGTCCTGGGTTAGGAGACTTGGGCACAGAGTAGGTGTGCACCAAATGAGTATTCTTAGTAAGCACAGACTGAGTGGGCCCTCATTTGGAACAGCCAGGCAGGAAGCCCCTGCCCCCCTGGTTGGGGGTAGCCAGTGACTGTGCGCACATGTCTGGGGTCCATCGTGTGGCCCGGGAAGGGAGTTTCCCACTTTGGTGAGTCTGCAGAGTGCCTGAGGGAGGGGCCAGGCAAGAGGCAGTCGCTGCCTGACCAGTGTGGTGGTGAGCCCGGTCCTGGGTAGTGCCGGCGGGGGTGGTGAGGGACACCCCTGCACAGCAGGAAGGGACCCTGTGCAAATGCAGGTGGCAGAGATGCTTGGACACTCCTGTGGCCCAGTGAGGGCAGTGGGTTGGGTGGCCAGGGCACTGGTTGTTTTAGCTGTGGTGGGCAGGGTGATCCGAGTACAGGCATGCACGCTTGGAGCACAGCTGGGAGTCAGGGTGCAAAGGGGCTCAGGGCCCCTCCCAGCTCACCACCACCCATGGGCTCCCCGTCCTGCACTCACCTGCTCCCCACAGCCTCCCCTGCCTGCTGAGACCATGCAGACTCCAGCTACAGTGGGCCACCCACCCCCTGCCCTCACCACTGAGCCCAGGCCACTGCCCCAGACAATTGTTGGGCAAGGTGCTGCTTGGAGGGTCACTTGCCTAGACAGACTGGTTGACGTTTGTGGGGGGAGTAACAGTCATGGGTATCGTGTGCCCCTCTGATCCCAGCTGTGGCTGTGGGGAGCGGATCTGGGTAGGCCCCAGCTCCTTAATACCAGCAGCACCCCCCTTCTCACCTTCCACACCATGCTCCTACGCTGGAGCCCACTGGCATTCGAGCACATCTGGAAAGGTGGGACTCAGCCCCCTTCACTGTGAGAGACCCAGATGGATGGACAAGGTTGCTCCCTGTCTACCCTCCCTTGACGATTCCCAGAGGTTCTCTTCCCATCAGAGGCCCCAGAATCCTGCCTCAGTGACCTCCCCCTTCTCCACTGTGTCCTCGAATTAGTTTCCCCTCCCTCGCCCTTCTCTGGCTCCCTGGGGTCCCCACCTAACTATTGCCTGCATGTGGTCCTCTGTCCAGGCTCCACTCTGGGAAAGAGGTACGGACATCTGCTGCTGGCCAGTCTGGGGGGCTTCTTACAAGAGGAAACACAAGAACTGCAGGGAGCAGAGGTCTTCAGGGGAGCCAGGTGCCATGGCCTGGAGGAAAACTGAAGACGGAAGGAATATCAGAGACAGATAAGCAGAGGGACAAACTCTCCATGTGGCCACATCAGCAATGACCCACAGAGCCCAGTTGGGAAGAGACAACAGGTATCAGGCTGCTGATGCTCAGATGTCAGCATTTCTAACATAGCTGAGTGTCCAGCAGGCTGAGACGTCCACAGGTTCAAGGCTGCTCCAGCACAGAGGACGCTCAAAGTGCGACCACGAGTTTTGAGTTATATTAGTATAGGAAAGATAGATGGGACCCAACTGGCCTCATGTGCATGTGTTTTCTCCAGGTACCGATTTTGAGGGTTGAGGCTTCCTAACTCAATGGGGCTAATGGCTCAGAAGCCCTCGACCTAGCCCACAGATTCATGGACTCCAAAACAGGTTCGCTTCACCACCAAGAAGTAAATGGCTTGTGCTCAGCAGCCAGTCAGGAACTCAGTGCCTTTAGCCTTGAGCAAAGGCGTCCACCTGCCAAGGGTGCCGACCACAGGGTGTGCTGGCTTTCTGCTTCGGGAGCCTCTCCTGGCCTGTGCCCCAGGAACCCAGAGTGGAGACTGCTATTCCAGGGTCAGCAACCTGCTGCTCCCTCCTAGAACTTGACCCAGACAGAGACGGCTGCACTGGCACTAGATCCAAATCACTTTCTAGACAAAGCATGAAGAGGTAGGTGCCAGCTCTCCCACATTCATGCCGCTCCAGCTTTGGCACTGTCATGATTTTGCGTCCAGCCTTTGCTTTGCAGCACCCTGGCTCCTGTCTGCCTGCAGTACAAACACAGAAAAAGACAGGCATGCCTCAGGGCAGGAGGGGCTTCCCCTCCCTCCCTGCCCCTGCTACCTTCCCTCTTTTCTTCCCAACTTTTCTCCCTACTGCTCCTCTTTTAGGAAATGGGCAGCGCTATGGGTTGAATTATGTATCCCCAAAAAGATATGTTGGGGTTCTGACTCTCCCCCACCTCAGAATGTGACCATATTTGGAGACAGGGACTTAACAGGTGATCAAATTAGAATGAGGTCATGGGTGGCCCTAATACAATATGACTGGCTGGTGAAAAGGGGCAGTTTAGACAGGAAGATGATGTGAAGGCCCAGTGAGGAGGCGGTGGCCATGTGACTGGGGTGAAGCATCTGTAAGCCAAGGAATGCTGGTGGCACCAGGAGCTGGAAGAGGCAGGACTGAGCCTCCCCAGGGCCTTCCGAGGGAGCATGGGCCTGCCCACACCCTGATTTGGGAGTTCTAGTCTCTAGAATTGTGAGAGAATGTATTTCTGTTGCTGTAGTCCCAGGTTGTGGTCCCTTATTAAGGCAGCCCTAAGAAACTAATACAAGAAATTAATTCATCAACAATAGCTTTTCAAAAACTACCTTGAACAAGGAGTAATATTATACCCAGCTGTCTGTTCTAGTTGATGAAGTAGTCATACATCAATCAAACTTTTGAGAAACCTAGTATATTTCTAGGACTCAAAAGGCTTGCTTACAAAGAAAAATCCCTTTATAGACCAAATTTATAGACTCATTTTATGTATATTGTCACTGATTTTGTTTGCTCAGAAACAACAAACACATGAACTGAAATGTTCTGGTGGTTAAAAATACCCACTGGGTTAGCTCCTCTCCTAGGACTTAGCTGCCAAGACCACCAAGAACCGTGGTCTTGCCCCACCTGCCTTTGGGAAACGTTTGAGTTCCAGTGCCCACCATCCAGTCTCGAAAGTGGAGGCTGCATGGAGAGATAATGAAGTGACACCATCTCCATTGTCTGCTGGGGGAACTGTGATGGCGTTGGTTCTTAGCATCTGGACTGGCTAGCTGGGGGCCTGGGGACAGTCTCTACTACTCAGGGTTAGCGGGGGCAGGAACCAACCCCCACCCCAGTTGGAGAAGGAGCGTCCACACTGTGGCCAGCACTTTCCTTCCAGTTTGAATTCCCTGTGAGAGTTCCCTTGTGGGCTGAGTCATCTCCTAAATGCTCTTGGAAGGCGCTGAAAGTGGGAAGTGAACGTGATGGTTTGGCCCCTGCCCTCCTGTGATTCCACAGGGTTGGTGTCCCAAACTGTGGGAAAGATGTTCTGTCCAGGCGGGTTCTGATCTCTAGGAGGGTCAGGTGGGAGGCGCTGAAGGAAGCACCTAGGATTCCTGGCTTTGCCATGTCTCCCCACACACAGAGATGATACCATACCCCCTTCAAGGTGGTCTTATAAAATGAACACACAGCACTTACCCATAAGTAAGTAACCAACAGCGTTGGCCTTTATGGTAGTGACTGTGGTCCCCTGGGGGGCATTGGGCTCTGAAGGTGTGGCCAGTGCTGTCCCCTGCCTGTGGCTCAGCATCTCTCCCATGTGGGGGCTGCCCTCTTCCAGTGGGTGTGCACCCACATGTGGCCAGCCCTCCGTCCTCATTCCCTGGGCTGGAGGGGGCCTGGGTCAGAGTATGAGAGCAGCAGAGGAGGGACTCTCCCCAGAGAAACCGAACTGCCAAGCTGACAACCACTTCTGGAGTTACCTCCAGGGAGGATGTTGGCCTGATCACCAAAACATCACAGACTATTTGCACTGAGGGGTTCATGATCATCCAGTTTGAAGTTTGTCAGGCTTTTGGTTGGGACAGCGATGTTCCTTACTAACTTGTTTCCCAACACCCCTTGACTGTAAGGCTACGCACATGGTTCCATGTAGGCAAAAATCTGTTGGAGATTCTGGAAAAATGCTTTCTGACATTGGAGCCACTCCTTCCTGCTCATTGTTTCTTTTTTCTTCATTCTGTTGACTGGAATATGGACATGGGCCTGGGGAGGTCTTGTAACCATGGAGCTACCACAAGGGTCAAAGCCAGATGAGAAGGATGGCAGAGCAGAAAGATGGGGGGAACTTGGCCCAGGGACTACATCATGGGGCTGCTGTAACAGCCAGGGATTGCTTATTTTTGGTAAGAAAATTAAAATACTATTTGGTTGACCCGTGGAATGGGGTTCTGTCACATGCGGTCAGATATAATCTGTAAGTGATACACTGGCACAGCAGACCAGTGCAAATTGAAGCAAAACTGCTTACCAGAATTGTCACTAATCTATGCAAGCAACTTGCATTACAGAGCTCCAGAATGGCTGAGGAATTGGGGTCAGGAGGGAATCTTTGAAGGTGGGAGTGAGGGGTTGGCTGAATAGTGAAGAATTGAAACACTGAAAGCATGCTGTATGAAATACTTAGTTGCTAAAATTTCCTCCTGTCTCCCACAGAGCCAACAACTATCCCATCCCAACTGAAGAATACTCATGGTGTGTATACACGGCAGAGAAATTAAACCAGACAGGCTGTAGACCTGGTGACTCAAGGAAGAACAGAAAGAAGAGAAAGTTATCAAAGAAACAATACAAGAAAATTACCCAGAACTGCAGGACATAAGTTTCCTGATTGAAAGAGCTAACCAGGTTTCCAAACTATAAATGAAAATAGGATATCATCTTGAAATTTCAAAACACTGGGAATTTAGGAAAAAAGGTTATAAATATTATAAAAGAAAAACAATGAGATAATTTCAAAAGATCAGAATTTCTCAATTGTAATACTGGAAAGCAGAAGCTAATGGTGTAATGCCATAAAAATTCTAAAGAAGTTTTACCTGGAATTCTTTATCTATACAAACTATCAATCAATTGTAAGGCTAGAACAGAGATATTTGAAGATATGTAAGATTTAAAAATTGTACCTCACGTGCATCGTTTTTCAGGAAGTTACTGGAGGACATGTTCTACTTGAGCAAGGAAGTAAACCCAGAAAGAGAAGGACAAGGGGCACAGGAAACATTTCTAGCATGGAAAAATATAAAGAGGTTCTCACTGATGTTGAAGGGGTAGAGATGTGCCACAAGCCAGGAGGCTCACCAGTACAGACACAAACAGGAAGACAGAGAGCTCCAGAAGGGAAAAAACAAGCCAATAACAGATAAAAGACAAAAATGAATGATTACCTGATGTGTGTGATTTTGCTGAGGGGACTTTTCAGCTTTGTCAGATAATTTTGGGGAATGATTATTAAGTAGTAAATGAAAAATTAAATATATGGAAAAAATGAGGCAGTAGTTAACCTCAGAAAAAACCAAAGTTGCACAAGAAAGAAAAGGTAATCTTAGTGGTATAAGTGGCTTAGTTGCAACATTTATGGAGTCATAATAATGTCACAACTAAAAGTTGATTTTGCCAAAGAGTGTGATATAAGTGAGTTATGAAGATGGTGGGTATGGTAGAAGAGGTTTGAGTGTGTGGGGTTGTGGGTATGTCAGCTAAACTGGAAAAACCAAGAAATAGAGTAATCATGTTAGGTGAAAATGTGGAGGTGAAGATGAAAAAAAGCAGTGAAGAGATTCAGAAGTAGTTGACTTAAGGGAGCTGGAAGTGGGCAGGGGCGCGGTGACAGCCACCATTTATTATCACATGTCTTGCAACACTATCTGACCTTTTAATGTTATAAGCATTAAAAAGGAAGAAATAATAATAGGGTGACAGTTACGTACTCTCTCAGAAGAAAATCTGCACAAGCACGTCTGGGCACTCTCTCTGGTTGGTTTTAGAAACTCAAGCCAGGTTGTGGGGACCCCTGAGCAGGCACCCTAGGTTTCCTGAGATTCTCCTTTTTGCTGTGTCCAGGGGCTCCAATGGCAACAACCACTGAACTGGCTGGAGTCTGAGTACAGGAATATGTGACTAAGTCAGAGTCTTCTCCTGCCTTTGACTGATTTATGGGTTGGTGCAGGTGGATTTATTGCTGCACAGCCAGCTACCAATTAACAAGTGAGGGGTTCCAACATGTCCAAGTGGCAACACAGACAGTGGGGAACGTGGAAACTGTCTGTGCAACACTGTCCTTCTTTTCCTGACTGCTTCACAGTTTGTTTTCTTTCCCGGTGGAGCCCAGATGCTGGTGTTGAAGCAGCAGAGGAGCTGGGAGCTTTCTCCCACCAGGCAATCGCTGCATGCTCATTGTTTCCTGTCCTGCTCAGATGCCCCAACATGCCTCCTTTGGCACTGGACAGAGGATCCCCTGCAGCAAGGGCCCCAGAGGGGTTCCTCAGGTCTGCTGCCCTGGGGAGAGGTTGGAAGGGAAGGGGTGGCCTGCTCTTGGGCAGGCTCCTTCCTCTGCTCAGACAGACCACAGGGTCACATCCAATTCTGTGTCCAACTCCAAGAAATCAGAGCCGAGCTGTTCACCCTCTGCATTAGTTTCTTGTGGCTATCACAACAAATTTACACTGGGGGGCTTAAACAACAGAAATATATTTTCCCACAGTTCTGGAGGCCGGACGCCTGAGACCCAGGTGTGGGCAGGGCTGTGCTCATTCTGAAGGCTCCAGGAGAGGCTCCTTCCCACCCCCTCCTCCTTCTGGTGGGTGCTGGCAATCTCTGGGGGGCAGGTGGCTCTCCTCCGTCCTCACATGGCCGTCTCCTCTCCGGGTCCCTTCACATCATCCCCCTCTGTGTGTGTCTGTGTCCAAATCTCCCTTTCCTTTTGAGGCTACCAGTTGCTGGATTTGGGGCCCATCCTGATCTAGTGTGACCTCATCTTACCTTGATCACACCTGCAAAGACCCTTCTTCCAAATAAGGTCCCATCCACAGGGACGGGGGTTAAGAAATGAACTCCTCTCACCATGTAACTTATTCACTATGTAAGAATTTGTTCTCCTTGTAAGAACTTGTTCGTTATGCTTCAGAAGATTGGAGACTGATGAAAATTAGCCTTGGGGTGGATTAATGATTGTGCATTGAGCATTGACCCCCCTATACAGAATTTTATTGTGGTTAACAACCATTTGATCAATAAATATGAGAGATGCCCTCACACACACACACAAAAAAGTACAGACTTCCAATTGTAAAATAAATAAGTAACCAGGATGTAATGTATAGCATAAGGAATAGAGTCAAAATATTATAACAACTTGGTATGGTGATAGCTGGTACCTAGAATTATCATGTATATAAGTTAAATCACTGTGTTGTACACCTGAAACTAATGTAATACTGTGTGTCAACTACCCTTCAATAAATAAATAAATAAATAAATAAATAAATAAATAAATAAATAAATAAATAAAAGAAATGAACTCCTCCTGTTGCGGGGACACAACGCAACACCCCCCCAGCTGCTCCACCCTCATGGCTGCTCAGGACTTGCCCACCCTGAAAAACTCCTTCAATATGCTGACCTTAGAAGCTACACTCCTGTTACTGTCCCTCTTTCCTTGTCACCAAACTCCTTGGAGAAGTCCTGTACATTCCTGCACATCTCTGTGTTCTCGTCAGCATCATCTGCTCAGCCCACACTTCCCTGCCTGTGGCCCTGCGCCGCATGTCCCTCCTGGCACGCTGCGTGCTTGGGGCGGCCCAGCCCTCCTGTGGGTGGCCTTCTCCTGGAGGGCTGGCAGCTGTGTGACCTCTGCAGAGCTTACCCAGGGCAGAGCAGACCCCCCAGAACCTGACCTAAGTCAATCCAGTGTGGGTAGGTACTTCCAGAGGCCTAATTTGGGGGCTGGGGGTGGGATCCCACTGGGCCAGAGGTTGCTGCCATTCTTAAAGGAATGCCTGAGGCTCCCATTTGAGCTTTGTTTCCAGACTAGTTTAAGAACAACACAGATGACTATTGGGCTCATGGCTGAAGGGTTTCCCTTGCTTTCTATGGTGCATTTTAACTCACAACAGTTTCATCTAGCTGAAGCCCCTGCTTCCCTTTGCTATGAACCCCTTTTTTCTACTTCTAAAATCCACTGTACCCTCACAGTGCAGGTCAGACCACTGTGCTGGAGCCTGAGACGGGGCCACGGAGGGAACATCCCAACTGACAGCTGCTGCTGGGCTGGTTGCCTGACCTTTGGAAACCTCAGCTTTCTCATCTGGGAAGTGGCGATGGCAGCGCCTTCCCCACTGGGTGCCTATAGGAATTCGGTGAAATATTACTAGCAAAGTACTTGCAGTGCATGGGACATAATATAATAAGAGCTCAGTAAATATACCAACTGTGATTATTAATAAAATTTATTTTTCCAATAAACTGTGGCCTCCTGAGCTGCCCCTGTGAGCTCTGGGGTGTGTGTTCAGGGTCATTTTGCAAGTTGGTGGGCATGTCTGTGATCACTCACCTCCCGCAGGGGCTATTCAGGGGCCGGGCAGCTTCCCCTGGGCCTGCGAAAATGGTGTTGCATGGGGATAGTGAAGACAGGCTGACACTGCCGGCTGGGCTCAGCCAGGTGTTTTCGGGAAGCCCCTGCCGCAGCTGGGAACTGGGAAGGGCTGGGAGCTTGCAGGCTGTGGGCCCTGCCCCACACAGCCTCCTCCTATGAGGGGCTTCGGCCACAGGGCCAAGTGAAAGAACTTAGAATCTGGAACTGGAAAGCCTGGGCTGGGCATTGGGAGGGCACCCAGGCCACAGCGTGGGCCTAATCTGCCCTCTCCCCCCAGCTGCCAGGCCCGAGCACTGGTGCGTCAGTGGCAGTGGCTGGGAGGCCTCCCAGGGCCTTCATCCCCATCACGGTCCTCCCCTGCCGGTGTCCCTGCCTCCTGGCTCTCTGCTGCAGGAGACGAGCTGTGACACATGGATGGGCACCCACCTGGGGACTCGGGGTGTGGTGAATTATTCCTCCTGTGAACACTGTGGGGTTTTTTTGTTTTTTACTGTATCAAAATACACACAACATTCTGTAGTCAGAATACTTGGGCTCAGTGACAGACTTTGCTGAATAATGAGCCTCATGACCTTGGCTAAAGGCCTCATCTGCCTGTGCAATGGTCTCTTCTTCTGTAAAGTGGGGATGACAACCCCCTGGCTCACTGTCTGCCCTCCATCAAGTCCCTGCTCAACACAACTACACGTAGCTCCTTCTAGCACATTCTGTCTGTATGTGTGTCTGTGGGGTCTGTCTTCCTAGCTAGGATGTAAGGCTCATAGGAGCAGGGGTTTTATATGTTTTGTTTACTGATGTGTCTTCAGCACTTAGAACAGCACTTTGTAGAAGCACACACTCAGTAAACATTGCTGGGTGAATTCCGACCCGTTGGGCTACGTGAGAACAAAATGAATTAACACCGAAGACATGGATGGGTGAGTGCCCGGTGGCGTCAGTGCCGAGGCAGCATGAGATCCCGGGCACATGGGGGGCGCCTTCCCACAGGGCAGGTTCTCCGAGGTGCCTGCTCTGCGTGCTGCCTTTGCCCACAGCAACTTGGTAGATAAAATAGGAGACACAGTGGAAAAGGCCAGTGTGTCTCCCGGAGGCTGACACATGGGGCGTGGTGCCAGCAGGCTGCGGACCAGCCCAGCGAGTGAAGGCAAACAGTCAGCTTCCTGGGGACCTGCCCGACTGGTCCCCACACCTTCCTGAGCATCACCCAGGAGCTGGCCAGAGGCGGTGAGTGGAAGGTTCTGTTTGCTGTGATGTGTTTGAGGAAGCCGCCCTCTGAGGCAGCCCCTCTGCTGAGTTGGCAAATACATCCGTGCCCCTCTCTCCCGTGGCCCCTATGAGAGCCAGAGGGGAACTAGTACCCCCGTTCTACTGCTGGGGGCCCTGAGGCTCTCACTCAAGCTTGCTGTTGCTGCAACATTGCCTGGACCTGACGCCAGGGGGGCATACGTGGGTCTCCTGTGCAGACAAGCGGGACATTGAGGATGCGCGTGGGAAGGGGCATGGGGACTACGGTGCTGGAGGAGTAGTGGGGACAGGCCGTCCCTCCTGCAAGAAGCCACACCGGCTGGAGGCGGGGTGGGGGGTGCAGGGTGGGAGAGGGGGAGGTTGGCACGGCTGGACTTCCTGGTGTGAAAGACTCAGACTGTGGCTGTCTGCAGCTGAAAGCCCGGAGGCCCATGTGCTCTGATTTGCGGGGGGCGCCTCCATGTTGCCTCCAAAGGTGGCTCCCCAAGGGCCAGATGCCAAACCCCAAAGCTCTCAGGATCCCCATGGCCTTCCGTCTTGGCCACTTGGGGACTGACTCAACCTCACGAATGGCCTGCCCTGATTTTTGTCTCCTGGGCCCAGTTCATTTCGTGTGGTTCCCCCCAGGACAGGCCATGGCCCCAGCAGGAAGTCTGCCAGGCCGGAGCGGTGGGGGTGGGGGTGGGGGAGTGGGTGTTTGTGGCTTTGCTGATGGATACAGCTGAGGTCATGGAACAAGTGTCTCCCTCAACAGGAAATGCGAGATGAGTGACTTGCTTGAAGTTCAAGCGCAATTATTAGTGAGCAATCCGCTAAGACAGGCTAACAGAACAGCCCCAGGGCTCCACAGCAGTGAAGGGGGTGGGCCAGAGAAGCCTGGCTGCCTGGTCAGAGGAGACACAGAAAAGGGAAGGGGAACCATCTGCAAGACACCTGTGTGTCCCCATCAGCCCGGGAAAGAGGCAGGGGTGCTGGGAAGAGCCAGGAAGGGAGGAACAAGGACACCCAGACCACCTCCGGGTGCCAAGAGTGCCGTGTCTACTTGTAGAGCATCCTCATACTAGGCCGTGCAGAAATCTGGGCACCGGATGGAACTCGGGCATCTGCAGAGGCAAGTGAAATGGGAATCAAGATCTTGTGACAGATGAGGAATTCTAAGCACACAGGAATTTTGCAACCGATGAGCTGCAGAGGACCTACCAGGTGGGCTCGCATGCCGGGCCGCATTTCCCCAGCCCACGTGCATTTCCAGTGAAATATCCCACGGTGGAAAAATGAACTTCGCAAATTGATAACTTGGAAAGAAAGGAAAGAAACCTCGTTTTAGGAAGCTGGTATTTGTTGACCCAGTCCTGCAGGCACATTATCGCAGTCTTCCCAAATCCCCTGAGCTGGGAGCTTCAGTGGCCGAATTTAGGAAAGAGTCAGCAGAGGACAGAGAAGAAACTTGTCCATGTGGCAGTTAGAGGTGGAGAAAGGACCCCAAATCCACTCTCACAGAAGCCCAAATCTCTAAATGTACACCCAGTTTGGAGCAGTTGAAATCTGGGCGATTTCTAATTTACCTTGTATGCCGAGACCTGGCTGCTGCACTGCTGGGAGGTGATGTGACAGTGGTCACAGCTGTGGCACATTGTGGAGAGTCACCCTCAGCTCAGTAGCTGTCGCAAGTCTCAGAAAATGGATTCATCATTGTGCTTGGAAGTTTCAGAGTGGAGACTAACTGTGGGCATATCGTGCCCATTGGTGACTGGCCTGGTCAAGGCTGTCCTCTGCTGGAGGGGCTGGTCAATGACAGGAGCCCTAGAGCCCCTCAGGGGACACCCAGCCAGTGGCCTTTGTAACTCGGGGACCATGAGCTCCCTTGGAAGTGACCGATGGCCCAGGTAGGACCAGGCGTGTCACTTGGACATCCCTCTGCAGAAGCTCAAGGCCAGAGCTAGGCTTCCTACAAGCAGAGGGTGCCTGGGAGAGAAGAGGAGGTAGAAGAGGAACATGTGAGTGGCCTGCGAGGAAGGACAAAGACGAGTCCAGCCTGCTGGTCAGAGCCTACCAGGTTCGAGGCAGACGGTGTGGCTCCTATACCCGCCTGCAGCCGGGGCAGCCCGGGAGCAGTGATGAGGCAGAAGCGGGTCACCTTGCTGCATGCTCAGATGGGACTCTTCAGCGCTTCTCCTCCCAGTGGTGCCCCGTAGGTAGGCAGTTGGCTGTCAATCCCAGACTCATGTGTCGCCAGGATGCCCTCTCCCGCTCCTGGCTTGGTCAACCCCACTATCCCTCATGGAGACCACTGCTTTGGGTAAACCTGTCTCCTCAACTGTGAGCACACCTTTACCTCACTCCATCCCTGGCCCTGGCCTTGGGCAAGTTAGTGAACTCCAGGGTGCCTCAGTCTCCTCCTCCGGTGGTTATGAGTCTTGAGTG